GTGGCATCAGTCAACATTAGAGAATGAATATGCGCACAGCAAGACCGTCTGGCCAGTGGCCCAGACAGAAGCTCTGTTCTTACCAGAATTTCCTGTTGGAATAGAGGAGAAATTGAAGTTAATTGTAAGTATATAATGTGATGTTATTTAATAAGGAAGGTTGTAAAGTAAGGTAGTACCAGTTGTACTTTGTTAGTACTGGCAATGGTACTACCTTTTTTTAAACAGTGCAATGTTGTCAATGTACCTTATTGTAATGTAGTAGTTACTGTGGGTACCTTATTTTACATCTGCTTATAAATCATATTACATATCAAAGAGGTGAGTGTTTGGTATGTATTGCATTGTTGCTTATACATTAATTTACAATAATTTTGTTCATAGTTTATAATCAGAACCGTTCTTCAGTATTAGAAGTTAAAAGTTAAGGAATATAAAAGAAAAATGATTTTAAGGGGTTGAAGTTCTCACATGGTTCTATTAACCCATTCGCTCTGGATTTATGTTCTGTCCCCTGTAGTTTTTGGTGAATTTTATTACATACAGATGGCTCCACATGTGCTGAGCCGGCAAGGAGTCTATTAGTAGGCCCTTGTTACTGACCCTGATTTTCCTATTCATTGAATTGGCGGGAAAATTAATACCATTGCTATCCATACTGTTATTATTGTTATTGATGTTATGATTGTTAAATTGTCCATAGAATATTTTAGACAATGAAATGATACAAAAAAAACTTTCCTAAAGTGGAGGAAAAGGGTAAGCAGGTGAAATATGTAGTTATTGATAACTGGCTATTTGGTGATTAAGAACTTGTGGAGCCATCTTTGTGTAAATACAATAAATAAACTTGTATCAAAGTGGGCATGGCATCTCTTCTTGCCACCTGGGGCAAATGGGTTAAGTTTATACACCAGAAAAAAAAAAATTAACTTAACTGGAAAACTAGTCATTGACAAAAATGTGGTATGTTATATCTTTCTTTCTAAGTTGTTTATATCCTGCTGTTATTTGAACTTGTTCTCATTCGTTTCTGTTTATATGTCAGAAAAAATGGTGAATAGACTTCACTAATAGATTATAATCATTGACCAACATTTGGAATTTTCAATATATATACAGATTATACCATTTGGTTACACTCTTCTAATATGCTTTTAATGTAAGATTTTTAGTATTTTGTAATCACAGCAATAATTATTGTGATAATGAACTATGAACACTCTTTGTGTGAATAAATAGAGAGTGAGCAATGCAAACACTGTACAGCATATGAATCGTGATAGAATCAGTTACTCTTTACTCATCAAAAGTGCTGGGAAGTCATAAGGAATCGAGACATCTTCAATTTAGATAACTTTACATTGAAACTTGGTATGTATGTGGACCAATGCATATTTTTTTTTGCATTTTAAGCCATGTATTACAACATTAAGACCATATATAGGCTTATTTCAATAAGCTCAACATTTAAAAAGTCATGGCTTGTGATGATATCTTTTATCTAGAATAGCAGGTTCCCAGAAAGCAGGATAGTGTTTTTTGTCAACATTCTACCTTGAAATGAATTGATCTTCAGCAGTTATTTCAGGTATCAGGGTCAGATATTGATCAGATCAGAATCAGTAACTTCATGATACACTTTCAGAATGAACATGGCTTAAAGCCAAACTGTGTTCAGTCAAACATTATATGCGTCTTTTTTCACCAAGCTGTTCTTTTTGTTGTTTTTTATATGTATTTGTGTGGCAGGCTTTGTTTGATACTTGACAATGTAATGTGTTTTAATGGTTTATGATATCTTATTTCAGTTTTTAGGTGAAATTAGCAGAGGAGCTTTTGGTCAAGTGTTTCATGTGAGATGTGCAACAACAAACAAAGAATATGCCATGAAAGTTCTATCAAAGTCACAGGTAAGTCTCTCCATACATGAGCATGTGAGTACGGGGTCTAGCCAAATGGTTAAGGAAAGATGAGCCAAGCATTTTCACAAGCAGAATGCTATACTAAGCTAAGGTTAATGATGACCTTTCTTTGTGTGCATTTTTTCTCATTTAAATGAGTTGAAATAAAAAAAAACTCGATATGATACAGGTCATGATAGTCTTCTGCCCTTATGTTGTTTTTTCTTCTATCTAATGACAGTATATTTTGTTGAAATGTTATGCTGAATAGAGTCTGATATAATTAAATGGGTTTAAACCCTTGACATGGGATGATACGACATTATGTCATGGTGATGAATCACAGAAGCAGGGTGATACCTTATCATGTCACAGGCTTTTGTTTTGATTGCTAGTCAGTGTGGCATGGCATGATGGTATGATTTAGGCACTCAACCCAATGCTGCTCTGCTAGAGCTTAGCCACAAAGGAGTCAATTAGTAGACCTTGTGACTTTACCTGATTTCACCTTTCCTTGAATTGGTGAAAAAAGCATATTTTTTACTAGTGCTCTGATTATTGATAAGTGTTATTTTTATTATAAATGTTAAAGTTATTATAATGTTATAAACATTAGTAATAGCAAAATAAGATATCGTAAAAAAATATTTTTGTAAATCAAGGAAAAGAGTGAACAGGCCAGACTGGCAGTACTTGTAATTTGCTCATTGGTGACTTAGTGCAAGTGTAGCCATCTATGTGTAAAAACAATTAAACAAGTAAACTCACAGTGGACATGACATGTATGTACATGCTGTGCCTGTTGACATTGGGTTAATATTTGAAGGATGAGCATATTTAAAAAAAAAATCATCTGGTTTAGATGTGAATTGTATGTAGAATCGGGCAAAAAAAAAAGAAAAGAAAAAACCATGCACAAGAAATCACTTCTATCTTAACTATGTCTACATTATTCTAAATTTTGGCAACATTGAGAATATAGCATGTTAACTCACATCCATCCATACCCATCTTTACTGAGAAGCTACTTATTGTTTGTGGGTTAACCCATTGCCGCCGGGGATGGCATGTACGTACATGCCATGCCCACTGTGAGTAGACTTGTTCGATTGTTTTTACACATAGATGGCTACACTTGTACTAAGTATCCAACGAGCCAATTACGAGTACTGCCTGTCTCGCCTGTTCACCCTATTAATTGATTTACAAAAATATTTAACATTATCCTAATTTGCTGTTAAAAATAACACCATCTATATTTATAGCACTAGTAAGAATACGTTGTTTCCCGCCAATTCAAGGAAAGGTGAAATCAGGACTAGCAGAGCCATCTATGGACAGACATATTTCACAAAAATATAAAAAATGAGTACTGTATTTCCCCCATTTTTTGTTCATTTTCCCCGGCGGCAATGGGTTAAACTATATCTTTCTAAATAAAGAGACTGTCATATACTTGTTGGGATTTATATCATTGTTGTTGCAGTATTGTTGGGTTTCGTAATATTTTTATTATTGAGATTAGTGTTCTTTTTATTTTTGTTATGGTGAAAAATGTTATTGTTGTTATTACTGTTGTCACTATTGAGATAATTGATATGATTGTTAACATTGTCATCTTCATCATCATCATTATCATTGTTATTTTTGACATTATTATTGTTTTTGTTGTTTTCATTGTTAAAGTCTTTGTCTTGATATAATTTTCATTATTGTTTTTTTCTTATTATCATCATTATTATTATTGTCTATATTGTTTTTAGCTATTGTTGTTTTAGCTTTATATCTATTGTTATTATTGTTGATGTTTTTATTGTTGTTATTACTATTATGATTATTCTATTATTATTATTTTTATTATCATTGTTATTATTATTATTATTATTGTTATTATTATTGTCATTATTGTTATTATTGTTATTATTGTTATTATTGTTATTATTATTATATCATCATCACTAAACCATGATTTGTGTAAGCCATTAGCCAGAAACCCATGTGGGCTCCACATGTTTAACACTTGGCTCTCTGTCAGTTCAGAACCATCACCTCAGCAAGAGCTTAGATGACAATTATAGCTGACCTTGTCCCACCTTCAGTTCCATTTCGAGGACATACGCCTCTGACCCTCCACTAGCCGGGGTGCATCAGCACCTGCTCCTATGCCATCGCATTGTAGCTTTAATTACATGTGTTTACTCTTCAACAATAAAGTGTCAAGCCGTTTAACCACTATCCAACCAGTCATAGTCATTGTCAAAAGGCAGTTACAGCCTCTTACAAGCTGGTGACAGAGTGGCTATTGCTTGCATCATGAACAATGGTGTCTCTGAAGTCTTTGATACGATGTCTTCAAAACCACATAAGTAGACGTTAAGGGCCCTTTCATTTCTTTCCCTCCATTCTTCTCCCATAAATGTGTTAAGCTGTATAAATTATATGTGCAAATGCAGAGTAAAAGTCTTGAGTGTGGAAACTTTTGTGATAGGAAATTAATGTTTTCACTCTCACACACTATCCCGTTGACCACAGGTTGCATTTCTTATTTCAATTTATGCGGTCAACAAAATAATCATTTGATTTTTCTCATTTTTAGATATTTCAGATAACGCGTTTGTGATTTTCTCTTAAACTGAGAATTTCGTCCTTGTGATTTCGCATAGTTATTTCACAAAATTCTATGTTCTTCATGCTTGTCTTGTATGAGTTTCGTGATTGAATATTAGTTCATTTTGTTTAATTCTCTTATTGATCTCATTTATCTTTACCTTAATTTGACTTCACTTTCCCTTTTTACTTCAGGTCAGCTGTGTGCATGGGTGACAGCTTGCTGTTCCCGTTATTTGGTTGTTTGTAGTTGTTCAGCCCATAGGGATAAGTGTAGCATTGTTACATGGTTCAGTGGTGATATGTTCTATTGGGGCTAGAACAGAGTGACATAGTATAAATGTATTAGTCAGTATAGCATTAGAATTTTCCCCATATCATTGAGCACAGGGGAGGCCAGATATAACCTGGGGTCAGATAGATCGCCCAATAGATCTACACTCCAACATTATGATCATAGGTAAAAGTAAACCAAAGTTATTTGTTCAA